AACTGTTCTAATGTCCTGATCATGACCAAAAACCACCATCAAAAACCCTGTTTTTAACATGTTTTTAACATGTTTATAACATCAACCTTTAAACGTTAAAGTCTACATCATCCATCAGCTTCTATGAGTCAATCCGCTCTAAATCCGTTAGTTTTGAGCCTCTAAAAGCAGAAAAAAAAGCAGAAAAACCACAAAAAGTGTTGGTAAAAAATACTAGAATACACCATATATTTGTCAGGAAGGTGGGTTCTTGAGGGAGGACTCAGGTGCGGAGATGAGGGAAACAAGGTTTATTGTACAAAAACAGAGTGAATGTCCAGACAAAGTACAAATCAAAGCTGTGGAAAACTGTGATCAAAGTATCAAAGCAATAAGTAAACAAGACTGAAGCAAAGTAACAAAATAACGATTAACAAAACTGTGACAAGACTGTGGCAAAAACTGTGACAAAAACAAACCTGGCGTGGGGGAGACGAAGGACAGGACGGACTAGAACGCACTGGCACAAGACAAGGGGAAACAGGACTATTTAAACACATGAGGGAAGGGAATCCCAGGTGTACACAATAGGTAATCAAGACGAGACAAGACACCAGACGTGACAATATTATGTTTGTTAAATGATGGAAATAAACTGTTCTAATGTCCTGATCATGACCAAAAACCACCATCAAAAACCCTGTTTTTAACATATTTATAACATCAACCTTTAAACGTTAAAGTCTACATCATCCATCAGCTTTTATGAGTCAATCCGCTCTAAATACGTTCATTTCTGAGCCTCTAAAAGCAGCAAAAAGAGCCGAAAAACCACAGAAAGTGTTGGTAAAAAATACTAGAACACAGTTTTCTGTTTTTTAAACGGCTGTAGTGAAGCTTCCAGAAGATGTTTGACACCAGAAATGATGTTTTAGGGTTTTTATTGTGCACAGATAAAGAATTTCACCACTAAGAGGGACACATTTATGAATAAAGTCATTAAAAAAACACAGATAAACACCCATAACGGCCCACCAACAGGTCTTTAACGGTTTGAATAATCCTGCTATAGATAAACTTTTATGGAATAAGTATCTAATAATGAGAAACTGCCTTTATGTCCGATGATATTATGTTTGTTAAATGATGGAAATAAACTGTTCTAATGTCCTGATTATGACCAAAACCCCCAAAAACTCATTAAATATTCACAAGATCTGATTAAATATGCAAATATTTGTCTATATATCTGATGTCTTATATACAGGATTAATAAACAGGAGAAAGTTCCTTAATAATGTCAATGTTTTTTACATTTTAGTGGCTTTTTATGTCATTTTTATCTGTTTATTGTGTCTTGTGGAACATGTGTGATGTTTTATCTTTATTCTGGATCCTTTCTTTTGCATTTTTCCTTCATTCTCACATCCCTCATTAAAAAACAGCTGGTGACTCCCAAAAAATCTGTTAAAAAATGTCCTGAAAACACTGAAATAACTCACAGAGACAGAGAAGCTCAACCTATAACTTCTTAACAGCTCTGAAAACTGCTCAAACCACCTGGAAAGAGTCATAAAAGCAGAAAAACAGAAATAAAGGAATTATTTAACATAAAACAGCCTCCAAACGTGCTACAAAATGTGGGAACCATGCAGAAAACATCTCCTTCCAAAATAATTAAGTCCGGCTCTTCTCTGAGAGGCTACCTTCCTCTTCCCCGATCCAAGATGGCGGTTTCCAAGATGGCGGCCATGTCTTCCTCTTCCCTGATCCAAGATGGCGGTTTCCAAGATGGCGGCCATGTTCTGGACACAGTGTTTTGATTTAGCCTCCGTTAGATCCTTCATAGACAG